ACCAACTTAATACTAAGGTCTGTTGTAGGTTTAATAGTTTCTATTTATCCTTACTTGAATATCGTTTCGATTTATTTATTTTTAAATATTTCTAACTATTTTTCTTTAGCGTGTGCGAGAATAGAAGGATCAATATAGCGATTTATTTGTTATTCATAACATGGATGAAATATTTCTCATTCAAATTTTTTTGAAAATTCTGATGCTTCACGTTAATATATCCAAGCAAGTTGTTAGACTTTGTGTTGCCAATGTCTTCATTTGAAGAGGTTTTCTTTTCTTTTTTTATTCTTTCTTCGACCCTGCTGTGTATTAAGTTACCCAGAACGCCACTGCGCGTCTTTTTAATGTCGTGTCCTTATCGGTCCAATTCAAATTTTTGACGTATTTCTAATATGGATATAATTTATATTTTAATTAATATATATATATATATATATATATTAATTAAAATATATAAAATAAATGTTTATGTACTGATATACTGTAGTAGGGTTTGTTTTCCAAGTTTGGTTACTAACCTTAGCGCAATTGATTGAAAAGCCTGAATTGGCCTGATGTTCGAGGGATTTGCTGGACCCTAGATTGCTATTCCATAAGATCAAATTGATCTTACGATTGACTTATATGTAATAAATTTGTTTTGGAGTGTTATTTTGGAGTTTAGGAGTGGTCGGAGGAGGTGAAGTCTGTTGTTCGATGATTTTCTTTTTGGTGGGGGCTCCAAGTTAGTCTTTTATCAAGCGTTATGCCTAAGTACTTAATTTTGATTTGGACAGGGATGGGGGCGTTGTTCATAATTAATTGAGGGCACTCACAGGGAGAATGTTTTAACGTAAAAGTAATTTGTACAGACTTTTTCGTAATAATTTTTACTTTCCATTTTTTGGCCCATTCTTCAATTTTATTAGCATGATCCTGGAGTTCAGCTGAAGCTAAAATAGGATTTGGACTGGAGGAAAGAATACCTATGTCATCAACGTATGTTGCTAGAAGAGTGTTACTAGATTGAGGGATGTCTGCTGTGAATACATTATATAGATCAGGGGATAGATCACTACCCTGTGGAACTCTAGCATATATTGGGTGGGTAGATGAAATATCGTTCCCCTGTCGTACGACAAACGAACGATTTTGTAGGTAAGATTTGATAATAAGATAGTAGGGAGCTGGCATGAAAAGTTTTAATTTGTATAGTAAGCCATCGTGCCAGACTTTATCGAATGCTTGAGCAATATCTAAAAAAAGTCCAGAACAGTTTTCTTTATTTTCGAGAGCAGTTGAGATTTCATCAGTAAGACGATGAACTTGATGGATTGTTGAGTGCCCGTTTAAAAAACCAAACTAATTATTCGGTATGATATGGTTGTTTTGAAGGATGGGACGTAATCTTTTCAGGAGGGCCTTTTCGAAAAGTTTACCAAGGACTGGAAGTAAACTTATGGGACGGTATGACGAAGATAAGTGTTAGGTTTATTTGGTTTGTATACAAGTATAATGACTGCAAATTTCCAAATTTTAGAGAAGTGGGAAAATCTTAGCATAGAATTATATATGTGGGTGAGCAATGATATAGTTTTGAAAGACAGATTTTTCAGAATTTTGTTTGTAATGAGGTCATTTCCAGGCGCCTTGCCGGGAGGTAATTTTTTAATTATATACTGCATTTCACCAGGAAAGATGGGTTTTGCAGGTAGCGACATAGGTAGCGAAGTTGATAGAAATTGTTGAATTTCAATAATTGTATCTTTTTCGGGATCGGTGCACGAATGAGGCTGAAATGTTTTAGCTAATTGAGAATATACAGATACAGAGAATGTACAGAATATACGTTGCAATTAAAAATGTAAATGTTGAGGTGTTTTTTAAATCATATTATCTATACTTCATACGTACCGAAAAAAGTGAATTGAGGAATTACTTTTAAAGCGATTCGAACAACCGTATGCAACATAAGAAACAGGCATATTTAATAAATATTAGTTACTAAATAGTGTATAATTAATATTGTGAGGTGTGGGGAATAGTGTTGATACAATATTTTGCCAACCCAAAACATGGCGGACAAATGATAACATAATCAATGCGTGCTTCAAGTGATATTGGAAGTTCGTCATCTAGTATAATATAGATATCTGTGACATTACCTAGCGTATCCATTAATTTTACAGATACCAGTCGTATTACAAAAATAAATACTTTAACCATAGTTTAACTGAACTGAACTAAATCGACGATTGTAATACTGGCAATAAGTTAACCTAGGATCAAAATGCACCACCTTGCCTAAGAGATAGAAGATATTTTTTAAGACAGTGATAATTGCTATACTATATTTATTATCAATGGTTAAATTAACCGTCATAGTGATAACTGATAATCACTGGACAACAAGATATATTCTCATAATTTTATAATTGATTGACTAAGTAATGTATTAAGTAAAAAACTCAACTGGTAAAATTAGTTGTAAATTGATCAACAAAAAGATTTTAACAACTATGTTTTGTAAAAGTAATATTTGGATTTCATCTAAGCCAAGTTTAAAATGGTTTTGGCGTATACAATGGTGTTCATCAACATCAAAAAAATTAAATTTACCAAATATTGATGGAAACTTCAGTTCTTTCAAAAAACTAAAATATCCGGAAAGCATGTTTGTTCACGACTATAATATAGCAAGTAATTATCAACGTACAAATACTTCTACTAATCGTTTTAGAATTGTCTCCTTAGTCTTCTTTCTTCATATTTCTTGATCTGGTAAATATTAATATGTACTAACTCATAACTGATAACCGTTTTTAAATCACTATTACTCAAATAACCATCTGTTCTTCAATTTACCTCTACCTTTTTTTATTTACTACTTCTAATTTTAAATTTATTTTTATTTCTGTACTATATTTTTGCCCAACATTTCCGTTTTTATTATATTTTCTTATACATTTTATTGGTATTGTATTGCTCATAATTTTGATTAATTCAACTGCCTTAACCTTAATACTATTATATTATGTTTATTGTTGAATTACTGTTGGTACACTTTTCACCTGATATTCATCAATAATTATCATATATTTAATGATTTATTTAATTTTAAGAACTGCCATTCTTTTAAAATATTAATTTTAAATACTTAAACTAATAAACTTTACATATACTAACATCTTCACTAATCATTAACATTCTTTGCCCTATTAACTTATTTTTCTCTTTCTCCAAAATGATATACCTTTTTTTCTACTAACCAGTACAAATCAAATTATTTCTTGTGTTTTTTTAATGTTTAGAAGATATATCAGAAACTATATGTACACAATTGATTAAAACATATGGTAATAAACAATTGGAACTAATTGAAGTAAATCCTGGTCCATGTTTAATAACACGACATTTATTGGAAAATACAAATTACAATATTATTATATTTGAAAATAATTATAATGCATTTGTAGAATTTTTCAGTGTAAGTACTATATACTAATTTAACAATACCAAAATGATAATTTATTAATTGCATTCCTATTGAAGGCAATTCATTCAGTGTATAGAAACAGAATTCATATTAAACATGGAAATTTGCTTTTGCTTTGGAAGTTGGGATTTCAAGATCGAATGGATCGAGGTGAAAGAGTTTCAAAATTTTTATCACCTATTGCTACAAAACAATCATGGAACCAAGAAAGTATTTATATTTTATATTATTTTTTTTTTAAACTTTGGGCTTATAAAATAAATAAAACATCATTAAGTTGTTATTTTGTATGTTAATATTATTTAGAATGCTTCAACTTTTATAGAATTTTGAATTTAATTATTATTTATAGGTCCATCACTCAAAATAATAGCTGCATTACCAAACAAAAAATTTATAAATTATTTAATTTATAGTTTTATATTTCAAACTGGTTTGATGACTTATGGTAGACCAGAATTTTATTTATTACTACCTCCATCTTTATTTATGGTAGGCCATTTTAAATATTTATTAAATTATTTTTAAAATTAACTCTAAGCTAAAATTGTTAAAGATTGGAAATGTTTAAAAGTTGATCTATTCCTATCAAAATATCAGTTTTATATTTTACATAATGTTAATTTTCACTGCAAAACTAAGAAGTTTCAATTTACCTTTCTAAGTAAATATATTTTGTAAATCTATAAATATAACAATCATGTTTACTTAAATACTGTACTGTTACAAATTATATACAATTTATTTAAATAATTACAAATGATTTATTATAATATATCAGTTATATCAAATACAAAGTTTAGAAACCTAATATATTTAAAAAATGATTTTGTTAATACAACCTTATACCTTATACTACCTAATGTAAATTTATTAATATTTGTTAAAAAATTATTATTCATATTTTATAACCTGTAAAAGTTTCCAGTTATTTTTAATAAGTAAAAACATAATATTTTTTTATGAGCAACAACTAGCCCTGTATCTAAAATTAAATTAACTTTTCTACTTTAAGCATTCATTTAAAAATTATGTATATATACCTCTGAATTATTAAGTATTTTATATAGTAACTAACTGTAAGTGTATATAATTTTACTTTTTAGAAATGTTCTTGTAAACCAATTGTAGATAAAAAGTATTATAAAACAAATACTATTTTATTTCAAAGTATTTTTGATATAAAGTTATTGAAAACTTATCCAAGAAAAGCATTTTTTCCTCCACACTCTTCAAAATCTGAATCAAAAAACGTGCGTTTTAAAGAGGTTAGTATATACAATTTGTAAACTATATAATATCTAAATTTTATACAAATAAGAAATAATAAACTAATCAACTTTCTTTTCATATTATATAGATTAAAGAAGCAGATACTAAATATATAATATTAGCAAAAATTGTTGGTCGTCAAGACATTTTGGAAGCCAATGGTTTAACAGAAGATTTATTAAAACCATTTTGGTATTTTGTTAAACATCATACAATTAGTCGTAAAAATTTTGTTATACCAATGTTAGAGTATGTTTTTGATGTTAATTTTTTTTTTTTAACTATAATCTATTTTCAATATTTTTTTTCTTTGTAGACAATGGATTCCTGGCTGTGGACCTCATTTTATTGCACAAGGTTACACAATATTTACTCAATTTGGTGATCTTACACCTCCTCAAATTTTAAAATTATTTTTAAAGTTTATTAGTTTGCCAGAATATAAAGATTCACCTTTTTTAAGCTCAATGGAAAGTAGGATTGCTAAATTATTACCATCTGTCCAAATAGCATCTGAAGACTCTGTTATTGAACAATCTGAACATAATTCCTCTTTAGATTTAGAAGAATTTAATGATAAAGTTAATTAATATTTAGCTAAAATGACTGAATTAAATTATGTTTTAATATTAATTATAAATTTTTTAATGCATATTTTATTTATTTTTATTTAGTAATTAAAAAATTACATTAAAACTTACAGCTTGATTTAATTAAGTATTTATTAAGTATAATATATACTTAATCATATCTCAGTTTATGTTAATTTAACATAATGTGAAATTATAATTTAATCAAAAATTAATTATGCATATTATATAATTTTTTTTTTTTTTAATTGCCAAAATATTACAGCTAATATTATATATTATAAGTGCTGTTTTTGCTAATCGTTATTATTTCACAGATAAATATTTTTAATTTTATCTTTGTTGATTAAAAATACAAATGATTTTTATATCTTAATTTGTTATTTTCATATATTTCTAATAATTTTTTTATTTATTTCATTAAATTAAACTACAATTTTTGATTCAATTTATTTTATTCATATGATTACTGATGTTCTGTATCAAGAACATTTGACTGACTGAACTAAAAGCTGAGATAATAATCAAATACTTTTGTGATTTATTACATTTGATTATTAACTGTTCTTTTATATTATTTTATGCTTTGTCAAAGCTATGTACATTTTCTTTATTAATCAATATCAAAGTATTAAAGCTATTTTTTAAAGCAGCATGTTCTTCTTCGGCCAGTTCCATTCTAGAAATTATTTAATAGTTATTTGAATACATAAAAATATGGTATTACATTTATATTATATTTATTTTGTAATTCAGTTAGTTTTTCATTTTGATTTAATTCATGTTTCAAATAGTATGTAATATTATTTGGTTTTTGTATCACTTGTAAATCATTTTTTAATTGCATTATCTAGTTACGATAATGACAAATCTTTTTATTCGACTGACACAAGTTATCAGGTTAACTCTTTTATTTTTATTGTAGAATCTTTATTTTCTTAAACAATAATTAATGTTTAATTAATATTTAAAATATATTTATTTTTACCAAAGAACATGATACCACAGTTTATATGAATAATAATAATTATTGTAATAAATATATAATTATGTAATTAATTATAATCTGTGATGATACTTTTATCATCGCCACATATAGATGATTTTATGGACTGCAATTCCAACATAAGTTCTTGTATTCTATCATTTAGTAATAATATTTTATATGATATTAATAACAATTTTTTATAACTTAATTTGATATTTTCATCGATTTCTAATAATTGTTTTATTATTTATTTCATTAAATTAAACTACAATTTTTGATTAAATTTACTTCAAATTTCAGCAGTTGAAGATCCTTTTGCACACAAATATCTTATTACAGTGAGAACTTCACAGCTGGCTGGAGCAACGATTATTGCGGACATCGTCTACTGTACGCACATCTAGGAAAATTACTACTGAATCAAAACAACTCCTGAAATAATTGCACGAGTAGTGCACGTACAGATATGCACAAGTTTAAACGTGTTATGACGTCGATTTTAAAATACAAGCGATCGGCCCTTACTTTTCGAATACGCCTCGTATTTTTATTCATAGATAAAGTGATATTCGTAATACATAATTTGTGGAGACCGTACAAATGCGGGGCCCGGTGCTATAGCAACGCTTGCCCTACTGGGATAAATCTTATGATGACCTCAAAACTTTGTTATCGGAATACATGAATCCGAAGCTGAATGTAGTCACGGAACGCTTTAATTTTTTTTTTTTTTTATTAAAATATAATTACAATCTAAACACATTTTTACAATAAACAATTTTGATACAAGATAATATATAAAACATAGCATGATTAACAGATTTGGAGGGCACTCAGTAGTGCCACCCGACAGGTTAAATTAAAAGATCCCTAGGCTAAGTTCGTTTAAGACGTCTCTGGAGGTTATCGGGTATTGTAATAGAAGATAGGCGTTTTATTAGTGGATTGTTGTGATGGAGTAACTTGGAATGGAAGGAAGCGTAGTGAGACTTAGTTGAGCAAGCGATGGAATATTTAGGTCCTTGTGGAGATTGTTATTCGTGATGATGTATCATGATGCTGAGACAATTTAACGCAGACAGATTGACTGGAATACCTGAATTTTTGTCGTATTAGAGGTTTTGGCAGAGCCCCATATCTGGATGCCGTAGAACCACACAGGTCTGATAATTACTTTATATATTAATAATTTGTTACTGATTGCTGTCCTAGAGCATATAAGTGGGCAGAGCAATTGAAGTCTAGAGTTTAATGTTTTTCTTTTGTTTTTAAGGTGATAGGCCTATGTTGGGCGTCTGTCAAAAGTTAAGCCTAGGTATTTTATTGTCGGGGTAGTGGGAAATTGAAAGATATTGAGCGAAACCGAGGGATAGTCTTTTGGTCTTAGAGAAAACGTGATAAAGAATAATTTTGATTCGTTTATTTTATCTTCCAGAGATTTGACCATGATTAAATAGAGTTAAGATGACTGCAGCCATTGGGACACTATCAGGGCATTGTTGTTAGAGGCCAGAATTATCATGTCGTCTGCGTATGTACCCAGAGTTGTAAATGGAGAAATCGGAGTGTCATGAGGGAATATAGAGTATAAGAAGGAAGCTATTTCACTTCCTTGAGGGACTTCAGCTAGGATTGGGAAATTTTCAGAGTAGCTATTATTGACTCGGACCGAGTAAATGCGATTTTTAAAATAAGATTTTATGAGAAGGTAGTAAGGGGCAGGGAGGATTTTTTTGAGTTTTAAGAGGTCCTTCATGCCATACCCTATCAAAGGCCTGAGCCACGTCAAGGAGAACAGCTGCACAGTAACGTTTTGATGCTATGCTGGTAGAGATTAAGTCGACAGTGCGGTGGAGTTGGTGTATGGTGGAGTGCTTAAACCTGAATTGGTGGTTTGGAATGATGTTGAATTTTTCTGATAATGGTAATAGCCGTTTGAGGAGTATTTTTTCAAATATTTTAGTGAACATGAGAGGGAAAGAGATAGGTCTATAAAAGGATGGGATACCAGGAGGTTTGTTAGATTTAGGGATTAGGATTATGTTTGAGTGGTTACAAGCTGTGGAGAAGTAAGATAAACGAAAAATGGAGTTGAAAATTAGTGTTAGTTGAATGATAGATTTGTCAGGAAGATTTTTAACAACCAAGTTGCTTATTAGGTCGTAAACCAGGGCTTTTTTGGTTGCGAGTTTTTGTGGATTATGTATTGGATTTCACCCGGGCTAATATGCTAAGCAGGGAGAGCCATAGGAAGAGGTGAATCGAGAGAACGAGAAATATTTTGAATAAAAGTTTTATTTGGGGTGATATTGTGTGGTTTGAAAACGCTAGGTATTCGGCAAAAATGATGGTTTTATCGGAGTCCGAGGTGGCCCACGAGTTGTTTGCGATACGGAGGGGGAGATAGTTGTTTGTGCTGGATTAATTTTTTGGTGGCCTTCAATAGAGACGAGTCTTTAGTTGAAAGATTTAGGATATAATTTTGATAACTTTCATTTTTATGTTTTAGAATATCTTTGTTTAGGTCATTTTTCAAATAATTAAATCTAGCTTTATCCGATGGATATTTAAATCTTTGCCATTGGGTTCTGGCTCTGTGCTTTTCAACGAGTAAAATCAAAATATGGGCAGGAATATTAGTACTTTTTAAGGATGGGAGGTAGTGGCTTGAGGCAGCTTAACAACATGTGGTTATGATATTTTTTAACAATACCAAATAAGCACCCTCATATAACAATAAAAATAAAACAAAACTGACTTTTATAAGAATTTTTTTTTTATAATAATATTTTCTGTTTTTGATAAAACAAGTTAATACAATTTTTAAATAATTAATAAGTAGGTTTTTTTTATAGGTTATCTTTAAATTCACTTTAGGTAGGTAATGACATTTTTAAATAATACTAAATAAGCACCTTCATATAGGTAACAATAAAACTTAACATAACTTTTTACTAGGTATTATATACTGTTTTGAATATAATTTAGATTCGTAGTGAACTGCATTCGACCCCTGCGCAGACTCTAGTTGAGGCATATCATCTTTCTATCTGATGAAAATACTTTTTTATTTTCATTATAAAGAACAATCCAATTCGAAATTTTACTTTTTAAATTTTATTTTAGGGATATCGATGAATACGTTCACTGTGCGGTCAAACTGATCAAAGAAATAGGTACTAAGGTATCAACAGGTAAACGCACACGAATCGTTGAACTATGCTGAACTTAATTACCACCAAATATATATAGACGCTTATCACTCGCTGGACTATTCTAGAACTTTCGTGCAGTAATTTGAGCTAGAAAATTCCAGACGAGCAATAATCAATATAGATAATACACCTTTATACTTATAATAGGGTTGCCATACGTCCCGGAAAACCGGGATTGTCACCGTTTTTGGACTTCGCGTCCCGGTGTCCCGAAAAATGTTTTCGGAACGTCCATATGTCCCGGCTTGGACGTTTAGAAGAAATTGTAGTATTGTTTAATTTTTCATTTCGACCATTTTATCTCAAAGTACATTTTTAATCGTAATCGATTAACAATATATAATAAAAATACAATTTGTAATTTACACATATAAATATATAATATATTGTATTTCACAAAAATATTTTTAAATATTATATTGCAGGCCAATAATGATCCTCTTCAGTGGCGTATACATAACTTTTGTATGGGGAAGGGATTATTTGCAAGCAAATCATTATTTATTTTTACGCTTCTAACGACCTCACACTAAGAACATTATTTTATAATATTTAATAAAAGGCCTAGGAGGGGGGATCTGATTCCTCCTTGAATACTCCACTGGTCCTTTCAATATATTAAAAGTTATATAAAAAGTATATTACTCGATAATGTGTTTGTTTTGTCCCGGTTTCACCTTATAAATTTATGGCAACCCTAACTTATAAGTAAGATCATATAATCAAACCAATAATAAAAATCCACAATAATGTTATTATTTTTATATTATAAACTTAGTTAAGAAATATTTATTTGTACATTTGATTACGTGAAATATACAAGATTGCAAAAAATTGAAAAAACATTAAAATTGTAATAAATTGCAACATAAAATTAAACAAAAAGAAAGTAATTAATACAAATCATGTACATATTTGATCAGATTTGATTTATCTTAACTACAAAAAAAGTGGCAATATCAATTAAATCCGGTCTTCAATTATAACTATAGAGTGGATTTAATTGATATTGCAACTTTTTATTGATACCCAGTAAATCAAATCTGATCAAATATATATACGAATCAGATTAATTACAGTATTCTATTTAATTTAATAATGCAATTTTTTGCAATTATTGAAATTTTTGTATAATTCACGTCAGTGGCGTAAGTGTGGGGGGCAAGTACCCCCTCTGACCATTTTTTGAGAGATAAAGGTATAATTTTGCTCCCCCCCCCAAATAATCCAACAGTACAAATAGCACCTTTTATTAATGAATTCTTATGGATATTATTTAACAATATTGGTACCTAGTACATGCTACCTACAATTTATGTTTATCTAAACCATAAAATGAGTTAAAAGACTTATGTAAAATCTAACTATTAGATATAGTGTATAAAATACATACAATAAAAATATGTTTTAACTGGTGAGGGGGAGGGGTGTCAGGGTTTTGATAATAATAAATATATTATATTGCTCCCCCTAGGTTTTTTCCCAGTTACGCCACTACTTCACATGATAAAATATACAAATTATTATTTCCAAAGTGATTTTACAAAAAAAATATGACTATAACGTAGGTAAATTTTTACATGTAGTTAAATGTTGTTTAGGATTTTTAAAATTATATTTATCTGGGTTGTCCACAAAACTCACTAGTTTAGGAGAATAGTCAATTACTTAATAGTTTAAACATATTTAGTATAAATTCTAAATAAATAAATACTAACTAAATAAAAATAATATAAATATTTCTATAAATATTCCCGGTCCTAATGGAAAAAGAATTAAAGATAAATTCAAATATGTCTTAGAAAAAAATGAAGGATATAAAACTGTTAAAACTTACTCTGAGATTATAACAGGAAATCAAAATATTTATTTAGATATAACACCCAATTTTTAAACTATTTTAATTATGTATCAATAACAAGTGTCAACGTTGAATGTACTTTTTCATTATATAAACATATTTTAAGTAACAGATGATACAATTTTCAAGAACACAATTTAGAGATGTATATAATTATAAATTTTAATTCAGAAAAATGATAATTTTGTAAATATATATAAATGTCCATAATATTATTTAAGTAAGTAATTAATAATTATATATTTGATATGGTTTTACTATTAAATTTAAATGTATTTCATTGCAATTTTGGCATCTTTTTAGTGCAATTTTAAAATATTTTTAATGTAATTATATCCGGTCTTTAGTTATAAATTATAATAAGTTTGTTTTGAGTTGATTGAATAAATAATAATTATTCTATATAACATGCTATTATATTTTAATAAAGGAAATTATTTTAAAACTAATTTAGAATATATTTATAAAATATAATTAAAATATATAGTTTTGACAAAAGAATATAATAAGAATGTAATATCAAAATTTGAAACATTGTTTCTCATTGAATTAGTATTTTTATTATTTATTTTTTATTATCATTGAGTAATAAGTATCAATGTCACTTTTAATTTATTAATGCATTATGATTTAAAAAATCAAAAGCTTTTAATGCTCACAGAGTGGGCCACGGCCCACCTGGCCCCCCTGTGAACACGCCTATGCTTACAAGTCAATAGTGTATATTAAAATGTAACAACATTAAATTAAAAATAGTAATCAACTACAAATAAAAATAAATTTATATAAAAGATTATAAATATTAGAATTGGACAACTGACCATAATCATAGAGTTAAATATATTTATAAAATATAAACTTGACGATCTTTCACCTACACCACCTATAGATTTGAAAAATATTTTTTAACAAAATTACTTCAAACCTTACAAGTGAACAACTGGCTATTTGAATCACTATATTTAATAGATTTCCAACAATATTAGCCACCTATTCAACATTATTTGTAACGTTTAATGTAATTTATTATAGGAAATAATTTGATGTATACATTTAATTATTATTTATAAATATTTACCACAAATTAGTTTTCAAAAAATTAATCAAATGTTTGAAAAATATTTGTCAATCATTGATAATAAATAAAAAAAATACTGTTTTGGATAAATCACTATAAAAATAATTTAATGGACATCAACCATAGACATATAAAGATCTTTATATGTCTATGACATCAACCCACAATTATCTAGTGAGCTACTTCAAAAGACTTATTGATTTTTAGGTTTATGCAATCAGAAAATAATATTTTAAATTTATCTTATTGTATTTTTACCAGAATATCAGATAATCTATACCAACTTATTAAAATGATTATTTTAATATATTAATATTTTAATTATTATTTTTTTCAGAATATTACCTTTTTCTATTCATCATCATGTTTTCACAAAAAAATAAAAACTCTTTTATATATTTAATCAGTTATATTAACCAAATACTTTTAAAATATATTCGCTGATATTTACATATAGGTAAATGAATACCGGTTTCGTGAATCACTCAATTTATAAATTAAACTACCATCAAGATCAGCTGATTCTTTAGTAGGCATACTTGACATAAAATCTCGACAAAATTCATATACTAAAATAATAATTATTTAGCTGTTATAAAGTTTTGATACTTAGTTAAATTATAAATAATAAATTTATATCATACTTACAAATACTTGATGAATCATTCTCTGCAACAAGATATGTATCTAAATTACTTGCTAATTTCCAACAAGAATCAACATATTCTTGTTCAATTATTTCCATTAATTCAACATCAATATTTTCATTCGTTACACTTTTCATCCATAATTGATAAAACTGATCACATGCATTCCATAACTATCCATTAAAACAAATTATTTAAAATCATAACTCTTAGCCAGAAAAACTAATACAAACCAATGTAAATGATCCGTATGATAATTTCTCCATCAAACCATCTAGCATACATAACTTTATAGCCTGAGAAACATGCTCTTCAAGTACTGAAAAATAAACCATCAATTATAAAATATAAGTATAAAATTACCAATATTAAAATTAAAATATTTAGATACAATTTATAGTATATATTAAAATATAGTTAATTTTTGTTTAAATATAATTTCAACAACTAGAATCGTTAGTAGGGCTAGGGGCTTATAGGAGTTTTCATGTTTTTCAATTATCATTCAAAATATAGCTAAGTAATATAAAAATTTGTTTCATTGTACTAGGAGTTTAATGTAATTTTTATTTTGCATATATTTATATTAGCTTTTTTTCCTACAAGTGCATATTTTGTTATATTTTATTAAAAAAAACGAAAACAATGTGTAACATATTTTATACATATTATTCTTACAATAATATTGTATATTAAATATTATTTAATATGTATTTTCTAGAAATTGGAAATAAATATATTAAAATCGTTAAAAATAAATTATTAGATAATAGTCTCGAATAGAGACCCATAAATAAAATATATATGAAAATAATTTAAGCTGTTAATTTATAAATGATTAAGTTATGTTTTATTTGATACCTTTATGAATAAAAATAATGTAAAGTTACGCTAGTATTGTAGATTCTGCTATGTAAAATATAGAATATAAATATCAATACATATTTGCTAATGTTTGTATTATTTTATTTTATTGGTACATGTACTAATGATTGTCGATGCGGTATTGGTTAATTGTCTATACCAGTGGTTCCCAAATTGTACACCACGGTGCCCTAGGGGCACCACAACTACTTTCTAAGGGTATCGCGGTCTACGGTTCATAACAAATAGTTTAAAATATATAAAATTGTTTTTCCTTATGACTTTCGTAAAAACTTCATAGCAAATAATGTAATATTTTCTATTGTATATTCGGATATTCTCATTTTAACCTTATAATAATTTTATATATTAATTATAACCATAATAACAATAATTTTTATTTATATATTTTTTAAGTTTAAAAATGCATTAATTTATAATTAAATTAAATTTTAATAAAATTAATAAAATTGGTTATCAATAGGTTTTTTTTTATTCTGTAATGTAGTTCACAGCAAGGCACTGTGGCTACATTGGGTCCAAAAAAAGGCACCATTGAAAAAAAAGTTTGGGAACCGTTAGTTTATACATCTAGTATATCGAGACTACTAGAGTAGGTACAAATAGAAAACTTAAGTTTAAGATTATACTCATTTTTAAATACTCAAATTTTATATATTAAATTTTAATTTTTTTAATGGTAAAATTTACTATTCATAAAACCACAGCTGGTAGTACCAGTCAACCAGTTTCATCATTCTATATTATAAATTATAATATAGAATAATGAAACTACAATATATAATTTATAACATATTTTTTTTTTTTTTTTAGTGTTGGTTAGGATGTTGTCATGTAATCAACAAACATTACATTTGTGGGTCGCCATTACATGAAGTTTGGGAAACACTGTATTAAAGCATAGTCACCTAACCTACTCGATTCAGTCACAACACCACCAAAATATAATAATTTATTTCAGCTTGATTTATATGAATTGCCAAAAAATTGTTATTTTATTTGATGCCATTTATAAAAATACAATAGATTATTAGGGACCGGTCCAATGTATGATTTACTGCTATATGGCTGGTCTAATGTGTGATCTACCAATTAATGGCTGGTCCAGTGTGTGATCTACCAATAAATGACTGGTCTAACATGTGATTAACTTGTGATTGTTAACGTTCTTACTATAATGTTGTCTATTATATTCATACCGCAAAAGTCATAAAATATTTAAGTTTGTATCGGGTGGCATAACCGCCACCATTCTTCTTTAAGTTGACAGTCTAATAGTAGAAATGCAACATTAACTTTTATAATATACTTGGACTTGACTAACTTCCATAATGACTCTATTGTTTGAGTATGAGCTCCAGTATTTGGATCCACAAAACGGTAACTGAATGTTAAAATTATATTTTAAAAATATAATACAGTCGTAAAATCTATATCCTATCGATAATTACATTTATTTCAGCACTATAGTAAAAAATATAGGTATCTGTTATCGGTAGATCACACATTGGACCGGTCCCGATTATTATAATTATTATTAAAACCAACCTTTTTCAAAAGCTTCTAAACCATTTTTAACTTTTTCAATACAATCAAACAATTTAAGGCCTAAATATTTGGAAGCAACACTAAAGAAATATGTTTGTAATTTATAAGTAGTTGACATAATCCATAGCCTTATAAAATACATTCGTTTCACGTCCAACGAGTAGTTGTATTTATTTAAATCTAAAAATTATCATTAATATTCAGCTAGTATATTTATAATTATATTATAAGTCTATTACCTTTAGTTTGTAATTGAGAAATTTTTTCCGTAGCTTGTTTAGAAGTCATTAATAAACGAAAAATTTTATTATACTTAAATATTACATCATTTGTTAAAATTAAACTCAATGGAAATTTTACCTATAGATTAAAATGTATAGTTTATTTAAAAATCATTTTTATCTAAATTTAATAAATAAAAAAAAATAAATATTTCAACTCACAGTATAACTAATTGAAATTCGTTCTAATTCATCAGCAAAATTATCTTTGATTATATTATTTTCACTAGAGTAAATATTTTTTTCAGTTTTATAGTTCAAAGATAGATTGCATGGGTGATTAAAAGATAAAATTGAACTATGATCATCCCCAAGAAGTGAATAAAAATAATTATTCAAAAATGAATTTTGTTCAATCTATTATAATAAAAATAAATAAACAATGCAAATAATAATTTATAAATTTAAAAGTGGAAATTATAATTTAACTAATATAAGTAATTATAAAATACATTTTACCTTATATTCCATCATTCTATCAATTGAAACAGACTTATTAATTTCTTCTAAGAAAATTAAACTGTATAAATTTTTCAAATGATGTATAAATTTATTTTCCTTAAGAAAAATATCTCTAACTTTCAATCCAATATTGTTAATGGCTCTTTGAACAACAAAAAAAAAGATATCTACCATTTCAAAACTTGAAGGTGATGTCAGATGAAATGTTGATTTGTCCGTGTATCTAATTTACCAAACAAAATTTAAAAAAAAAAATATATATATATATATAATACATTATTATTACAATTTAAATATTTGAACAAGTCATATTAACTTTAAACAAAATAAATAGTTATTAGTTAATAAAAGATACATGCAAAAAAAAATTGATATCAAATTAATAAATTTGATCAAGATACATGTTATATTAAATTAAATTTCTAATTATTATTGTTAAAAAAAGTATACCATACAAAACCTTGAAAATTAGTATTGGTGTAGTATCGATAGTAGACAAGATGAGAGAAAATAGACTGATATGGTTTGGCCATGTGATGAGGCGAGGAAACAAAAGTAGTAAGTTTGGTTATGAAAATGAACGCTGAGGGGAAAGGGAAGAGGAAGACTAAAAGAACTGTTGGACACAATTGAGAATTATAAGAGGACTGTTGGTGTGTGTGTAGAGAATGTAAAAAATTAAGACAAGTGGAGATGTAGAACAAGGATGACCAATCCAAAATAGTTGGGAAAAATGTAATGGAGAAGAAGATTTCAAAAAATATTTTTATTTATAATTTGCATTAATGATATATATTTAAATAAATTATTAAACTATAAACTCATTTAAATGTTTTGAAACATAGTAAAAAATTGTAATATTGATTATTTACAATAAAATACAAGTATTTAATCAACTTACAGTAGCTAAGTTTATCGGGGAGCTAAAAACAAATTTATCATTTATCAATTATGAAAATTCTATTTTAAAAAAAGTAATTTATTATATTCAATAAAAAGAAAACATACCTATAACTAACACAAGATGATGCTAACAATGGCAACTGATTCCAGTTTGATGGATTATATTCATTAAATGGAGTAATATAATTTTTCCAATTATTGTTGGAATTTTTTATTTCAATTAAAAAGTTGTGAAATAATTCACCTGAAAAATATTTTATATTTTACTTAAATTAAGTATTTTCTACGAATATATTTACAAACCTCTGGGAACTTCATAAGTATTTATGTCATCATTACTTATTTTCAATGCAACAAACACTTTCCAGTCACAGTTATTCAAAAAATGTATTAAATATTCAAGAATTGGTGGTACATTCAAGTTACAATTATCTAAATATTCATGAATATCTTTAAAAAATATACTAAATACAGTACTAGAGTCTCCTTCATAATTAGATATAATAAATTCATTATTTTCATCAACTAGCTCTCCAGCATGAATCCACAATTCTGTCATATGAACGTAGGTTTCAAAAGTATGTAAGAACAATATCATAACCACCGACTTTTGATAGTCAACAATAGCTGTTTGAATAGACCAAAATAAAACTGCTATTAATCTAAAATATAGTTATAAAATATTAATAATTAATTATTTTACTTGTCTGTTTAACTCTTACTTAATTGAAGTTTTCCAATTATCAGCGGACTCCCAATTTGAAATTAAAGCTTTTGAATGCACAGAGAAAACAAATGAAACAATTTGAAAATGCAAATACATTTCTTCTTCAAATGATAATATTGTTTCATGGCCAACTATAATTAGGATAAATCAAACTATATAATTTTTAAACAAAAAGCAGCAAGTACTTAGTTGGACACTCATCCAAGTACTCGCATGATTAATCATAATTAAAAATGCTGTAGAAAATAATTTTTAATAAATTCCAATAACACATTGGTTTTCATTTATATATTCTTTTTTATTTGTTATATAATAAACAGCATACCTTGATTTTTAATTCTATTTTCAATTGTTCCCATTTTTTTTATTATTGGTTCTAAAATATGTTCCAATCCTGTAGCATAAGCTCTTAATGTATAGGGTACTTTTTTAAGACCCTTTATATGATGTATAAATGTCATAAGAATATTAAATTTTTCAATAAACTGGGAAATAGTTGAAATCCAATGATTAAATACTTCCTTAAATATTACAATAAAAAAAAAAATAGTAAATATTTTAAGTTTATTTTGATTTTAACAATGTATAAGACAAAGCCCAAACCAACAGGTGATATATATGATAAAATAATTATAAATCCAAATAATTTAATTTGATCTTCTAAATTATACTGAAGAAATGAAAATGGAGTCAAATGATTATTTAAACATTCTAGTATTACATAATTGTCTTCCACAATCTTAAATATATTATTATTTGAAAATCTAAAAATACAATTATAATGAATATTGATCTACATTTGTCTTTATTGTTATTTTACCTTCTTAATGCAAAATGGGAACAATTTTTTCCGCCATTAACAATATTTTCATATTTATTAAGCCACCAAAATTGAGAAGCACGTTTTATCAACAATTTTTTAGCTCTATCTTCATAAGTAAATAATAATTTAAGATATTCTTTATTAGTGAGACAGTTGGTTTTATCTTTCATATTTTTCATTGTTATGGTCTGTAGTGATGTTGAACTTAATAGACAAGAATCAGTTTCATCATCAAGATCTGTCTCAGTATCAGATTCTACATAATTCTAAAAATCAATAAGTTCTTATCTGAACAAAAGTGTACTGTTAATGCTTTTTATGAATATGTACAATATACATACTGAACTTCTACCAATGTCTAACAGTTCTTGTATAAGATTTGTTTTCCATGAATCACCTAGTACAGCAGTTTCACCTTCGAGTTCTATTCTAATAGACTGTAAATTAGTCTTACGGTAAGCATTTCTAGAACCGCAAGGATTATTAGCCATATTGATTATCATGCTTATTATTGACCATTTTACAGTATTCGATGACAACTTTAACATATTGAATAATTTTATTAATAGGATAAAAATTTATTATAAACATTTGAACAATTAGAAATAAGTATATAATTGTTGTGATAAATAAATAATTACATTAGAATGGTTATTGATATTGGAATTATTAATGAATTGATTTACACGCATTTCAAATTCTTTAGCTTCTAATGGAAATCCTTGAATATAATATTTTTCCAAAAGACCTTTTACACATTGTTCAACATCTAATTGTTTTGGATGTTCATAATAATCATCTTGTAAATTATTTAATATTTGAACATATTTCAAATAAATTTCATTGAAATTCTGAAACAAAGTTCAAATTGGTACTTACGTTAGACAACATAGTAGAGATGTTTAAAAATAAAAACCTTTAATCCAGTCATAATTTTAATAAGTTCTAAAATGTTTGCAAGTGTTTTAGGTGGTAAAGTTATAGCAGATGACAAGTTTTCCATTTTTATTATATTAAAATAACATTCCCTGTTCAATCTAATTATTAGAATACATAAATAAATATTTTGTTAATTTATTATTTTTTCATTTGAAAATAAACGCATACATTGATCATAATTATTAAGTTCAGATGAAAATTACGAAAAAGAAGTGAGTAAATTAACTTTAGAAATTTAATATTTTTTTATGTTACAGTGACACAGTTACGGACATCTTTTTGGCGGTTAAAATGATAGTATACTGATAAGAAAAACTTAATGATAATGTGATAAGTCATTACCATGGTCGTAAATCCATTCTAACTCCGGTAACTATCGATGTATAACAAATATAGAAACATAGATATATAAAGATCTTTATATTTTTATAAATAGAAATGTATTATCATCATAAATAATAAAAGAATAGATAGGCCCAATCACGATTAAAAAAAAGGCCTTTAAATAATATATATTATTAATGATGGCTTTCACTAATATTGGTATACTAAAGGCAGACTTGGGTAGTATTCGGAATACAATATTCGGATATATAATAAACTAAAACCTGATTCACATCTGTCCAGCACAGCACAGCACGTAACGGCACGATAATACATCGTATTATTAGTTTATATGAGATAACTCACATAGGTGAGTACGTCACCGCACCAGCACCGACTGGACCGACCGACCATCATTCGAAAGAATGTTTTGATGATCCTGTTCGTGCCGGTCTGTGTCGGTACGTTTAGTTTCGGTGCAGTGTGAACATAGAAAGCAATAGTGAAAACCCAATGCCTTTATAAATAAATATTGGTACGTAAAATAGGTTTTTTTCTGTATACCGTTTAATACAATAATTTCCTAATACCGGTTTACCGGTAATGACGGTATACCGAAAATAATGAATTTTTTCGATATATCCTATCAAATGGATTTTTACGGTATACCGTTTGACACAATAATTTCCTAATACCGGTATACCAAAAAACCGGTAGGTTAGGTAAATATAAATTATATAATTTTAGTTGAAACTTAAACGAGGGTGCATAAAAACTTTTTCAACTTTAACATACCTCGATATTCCATCGGTTAAAGTTTTAAATAAATTGTTGTAAATAAAAAAACATTTAAATTTAAATAATATTTTTTAGCTGCATACTGCGACGGGAGCAACGATGAGACAGATAATCTATGTCTAATATTATTTGTCTTATTCTATTCACGTTTGTTAAATATTGTCATTCTTACAAATTATATTTTTTATAATTCCGGCCCACTGTATATATTAATACTAATAAAATAAAAAAATTAATTATAATTTATTTTTCTTTAATTGTTAAAGTGTAATTAATTATTGATATATTGTATTTGTTCTTTTTATTAGAGCAAACAGCCGAAATCTAGGAGCCAATTAAAAGTGAAATAAACTTATGAGTGACAATCGCTTATCTACTTACTCCCAGGAATAACGGTAAGTCGTTTTTTATTTTGAATAACAACTGTAATTATAACAAAATTGATTAAATTTATGTTTTTAAGCTTTGACTTAATTTTTTTATATTTAATCCATTAAATTATTAAACTTAAAATAATTAAGTATTCTCCGTTGTGTAAATAATATTTTTCCATTACATAAATCAATTTTTCTCCTTTCTATATTTAGTTAAATTATTAATATTCTAAATTTATAAATTAAATTTCAATTTATTTGAATTGGTATTTATTTTTTATTATTAAATATATTTTTGTGTTTCACCTGCATGAGTAATCTCTAGATCCCTTTTCATTTTTTCTTTTGTTATTAAAGTATTCGTTTTTATTAACAATTTAAATATAATGTTGTTAATACATTTATTTATGTTTTTTCAGTACATAAATAATGTTTAAAATTATGACATAATTTATATATTCCCCGGCCGCGTATTACCAAACGGGCTAGAGCGGAGGTTCCCAACTTTTTTTGACTCACGACACCCTTTATTATTTTTTAAAAATTTGGAGGCACCCTATAGCCAATGCTTTATACTCTATAGTTTATACTGAATACACAATACTAATATATCATATATTTAAATTTATATTTTGTAACTT